CGTCCCCCTTTCCTCTTTTCTTTCAATTAGGCTTTCAAATAAGTCATGGTTGTACAGCAGTGAAGCATCGGTGTTGAACACTGATGTCCAGCTGTCGATGATGATGATGATGAGTTTGTTGTGCAGAGGGCTAGAAATCAAAAATATAGGGTCAGAAACGCATTGGACCGCATTGGCCATAGGAATGATTAGTGCTAAAACGGACGGGCGAGAAGAACTGAAGGCTTTTCTCATGCTGCACGGGCAAAAGTTACTTCTCGATTTCTCAGGCCGATGAAGGATGCATATCTGAGGCAAAAAATAAACACAACCCACCTTGAATCTTTGACACAAAAGTGTTACTCATCGAGTGGCTAAAGTAATGTAAGGTTTTGTTCCGGGACCTTTCTCAAAAAGTCTGATCCGCGAAACAACCGGTGTAGGAGTCCTCTTGAGGCGCACTTCGTGGAACCAATGTCCAGAAATTCTGGCCCACCTGGCAGCGAGTTGCTTGTTTATCCCATAAGTATGGACCGTAGGGCACGGAATTCTTATCAAGCTGCTGCACAAGTGCTGTGATCCGCATAATTTTCTGGAGGTATCCCCACTGAGTACTTAGTTCAATAATGGTCCAGAACCCCTAGCTTTTGGATATCGTCACATCGAAACTACCAGATCCCGCGTCACTGGAGGAGATCAGGGTGAACGGAAGTCTGATTGACCGGATTAAAAGTTTTCGAGTTAATATAAATTCTACGCTACAGAACGCAGATCTGGCATCATCAGCGCATATCTTCACTTTGTCTTAGATTTGATTAGTAGGAAGGCAGGAACGGAGGTATTTGAATACGCAGACCGCTTAAACGAAGCATGACCATAGATTTGCAAAGGGACAAGTTAATAGACGAAGCCATCGTTTTGGTGAGGCTAATTAAATCAGTGCAGTAATGGAGGCAACCGTGTGCATCTTCCACAGCCTTTAAGGTAAGCGACTAAAAAATGATGCTGTCGGCAACCACACACCATCTTCTGCAAGCTATACACCTTTGTAGTCCTGGGGAACAAGATGCGGTATACGCTCAAGAGTATGTTTGAAGAGATCCAACGACAAGAAGCAGCTCTGCCATATTCCTACAATATCAAAGTAGGAAAATAACGCCATGCACCGGACCCCGGGTTCCAGATAGGAAGTGATAGGACGAGTTTCAAGAGCTCAGCAAGCCCCATAATGGTCCGCAGTTCAGCATGGCTATCGGAGCATATGGAGCGGTTGTAGACTTTTGGAGCTTAGAGAGGTACTTAAGAGCAGGTAACCTAAGCGGGTGTCTTCCAGTTAAGTCTCTTGAACTGAGCAACTGAGCAGAAGCGTCTTAACCATCATGACCACTGTACTGGCTCAGCTGAGCCCAATAGGACCATCACAAACCGACGTTTCACTTTTTCCAAGGTAACAAACTCCTGTTCCTCTTCCAAATAGAACGGAGTGGTTTGTGGAGCAACTTGAGTGATGCGGGTGCGTATGCTTCATATAGTTCAGTTGAATTTCCATCTCCATGAGGTAATTTGTTATTTAGGCGGTTGATGATGCGCGAAGTTGGCATCGTGTGGCGTCGTAAGTGACCTTCGTGGATACGTTCGGTGAACAATTGAGCAGATAGCTAAAATACCCCGCCCATTTAAGCACTTTTCTATCAATATCGAGGAAGTGTCCAGTCGAATCGAGGGGGAAGGATTACGAGTGTAGCTTCATGCGAGACAACAGAATCAAATAATTCCGGAATTAGCCTTGGTTTCAGCTGTTTCCAATTCGATTAAAAAGCAGTCGCATTGATTAAGAGTGGATGGAATAGACCCTTGTATCGATCGGTGATATCTCAATAAGCCTAGGTATGTTTTTAGCCTGTTTACCCACATGTTACGTACGCTCCGATACCAATATCCTAAAGTGAGTTGCTAACGAGGTCCCCCGAAGTAGTCTGCTGGATAGGGACGTCTTCAAGGACGGCAGGCTGTCAGCTTAGTTCCTCTGTGGTCTGACCAATTTGGGATCGGTGAATGAGCTCGGCACTTACTGTGCTCGACGGTACATGATGTTGATGCATGATGTGATTTCAAAGCTTCTGGTGAGTCTGCACGCAACCCAAAACCCACAGGAACTGTATGAACTGGAAGTCTCTACATGGGATCGTCGTGGCCAGATGGATTCAATTTGGTTTGAGCACCAGGCCATCAGATATTCTGTGCGGTATTGAAAGCACGAATTGCAGCTACACGCCCGATTGCGACTCGCGAAGTTGATTGAATGTGAGTTTCATTAAGGCGAGATATCCGAGCGAATTAGCTGCATAGATGGACTCGGAACAGCGTAGAGGCGTCCATCGAATTCGGTCCCGATATGAAAATCGGTGCGTAAAGTAAGAGTAGAGGGGCAAACGATAGGTTAATAGGGTACCTTTCAAAGCGCCACAATATTGTTCTCGAGGACATGCTGTCCATTTTCTGCGTCGAGCCTTTTCTGCGGTCGAGCTTAGAGTCAATGCAACTCGGGGGCGAGATGGACAACGTGGTTAGAGCACGAATTTACTGGCAGGAAGGTCCGTGGTTCGAACCCAACCTCTGCCCCTCAACTTCCCCTTTCTAA